GGTGGTAAACGAGGACAAGACGAAGTGTCTCCTGTCATCAAACAAACAGTCAGCACATTCTTGCCTTGGCACCCACGTCACTGTTGGCAGTTATAATTTCGAGAAAGTAGAGAATTTCGTTTACTTGGAAACCGGCATTAACACCGATAATAATGTCAGCATGGAAATCCAACGCCGAATCACTCTTGCAACTTTGGATTGAGTAGGCAATTCAGGAATAAAGTCCTGGTATATGGCGCAGAAGCATGGGCAATAACAACATCCGTTGAGGCGGCTCTTGGAGTATCCGAGAGAAAGATTTTGCGGAAGATTTACGGGCCTTTACGCGTTAGCGACGGCGAGTACGGCAGACGGTGGAACGATGAGCGTTACAACGATATGGACATAGTGCAGCGAATTAAAATACTGCGCCTCCGCTGGCTTGGCAATGTCGTTCAAATGGACACCGATGCTCCAGCTCGGAAAGTATTCAGCTCAGAACCCGCTGGTGGTAGCAGAGGAACAGGGAGGCCCCGACTGCGATGGAAAGACCAGGTGGCACAGAGAAGAAACGACTGGCCAAATCGCTTAGGCGGTTACAGCGCCAAATAAGAAGAAGAAGAAAAAGAATGGCATCATTTAGTACCTACTACTCTTTCTCTTTAAAATTCGTTTCCATTTGTTGCGATTCGATTTTTCTTTCTCAAGATATACCAGTTTTAATGTGCAGTACTTCGGTATTACTTCGTAAGCAAGAGTCACCATAACGACTTGAATCCGGGCCCTGTGGAATGGTAGAGTGCACTACTAACCACTGCACCACAGCAGCCGCCAATTACATTCCAGCAATTTTAAACAAGAACATTTTTCAAATGAACTCGCTTGATTATAATTAGTTCTCCTTATAGTGAGCAGAGATGTTAAAAATACTTGTAAAATAATATTTAAATACATAATACAAATATCTTACATAAAAATTATTTCGAATACTTATTCAAAATACTTAAAAGAAAAATAATGAGTGAATTTGCAACTGGCGGCGTCCTGCGCCAATTTGCAAGTGTCAAACAAATTAATGACAGTGTTGTAAAGGAAAACTTTATGATATGACGAATAATGAAGAATGGAAAAAATATTTTAAAATACAAAATGCTAACACGTAAATACTTTAATTTAAAAGTACATCTATGATCATGAGTACACTGTATATACAATTACTTACAGCACTAATTTAGGTAGACAATTACCTCATTTTCGTATGGACGAAAAACAGTTATGGGACGCAGACTATGTAGTTCGGTAATGATTAAGCAGCCCCAAGTTGTTCCTATATACAGTTCCGTGCCATGTGAAGCCAATGCAGAAATCTGACATTTAATCAAGCTTAGATGCTCTTCGATAGCTATGCTCTTCAACGACTCGGAGCAAGGCAAGAGTTTAGAGCAATCCAATTTATTTTCGATTTGTTTGTTATGCACATTCCATTGATATACCATAAAGCCAGGATATAGGCATGAAAATACAAAATCACTTGTCGCATACATACGTGACACCTTGACATCCTCAATAGTGTTAGGTTCTTCGCTGTGACACAATGCTTGGTGACCACAAACACCCGACTTGCTCAACGGAAATATATTAATTTTGCCAGCCATTTCCCCGCACCAAAGTTCATATTTGCTAAAAATATAATATAATATACTATGACATAATATAGTTCGATTTCATAAAAATGATTGTTAGTATTTTTTGTGGTCCCTAATTTCGCATTTAAAACTAACATACTTAATAAAATCAAATTCAGAGCTACAAACCACTCCAAAAATCAGTGCAGTTCGGTTCAGTGGTTCGAACCCACAAAAGCTTGTTAGACAAAGAAAACATTGCCAAAAATTACGCACAAAAAATTAACTTTTGAAGTATTATGCGAAAAATACAAATTGCAAAAAAGGATAACATTTCTGTCGTAACGGAGGACATTTCGTTTTTAGGCAGAAGACGGACCTGTGCAGCGTTGCTAGGTTGACGTTTTTAACGTCATTTGGACGTTTTGGAAAAATTACGTTTTTTAACTCCCCTGTAATCTTCTCTGTTACTAAATCTTGTAAGTGGAACTGATTTTGAATTTTTTTCTTAATAAATCTTTACAAGCTTTATTTTTTGCAGCAGCTTCTTCAAAAGATATTTACCCTTTGAACACAAATGACTTAAATACGATGCAAACTAAGCGTATGCGTATTTTTTTGTATTCTTGGACAAGGATCCCGCGTTCAAAGGCTGCGGTTACGAGGGTTATTGCAATTTTTGCAATTGCACATTAAAAGCCAAATCAGGAAGAGATAACACTGGTCTACAAGGGTTTTGCGAATAAGACGGGACCTGGTGTTTCCGAACGGATTTTTCGTGCTGAACACGAATCTGGGGTCCAAAACTTCCCATCACGTCACGTTTTCGAGAAAAAAGGGGTTGAAACCCCTAAAAACAGCGTTTTTGG